TTGTTTGAAGTATATTGTGTCTGTAGATGCTAAATTTTAAATCTGATAATAGAATTTAGATGGTTTAGAATGAAAGAAAAGGATATTTAAAAGGCAGTTTTGTTAGCTTATTGTTTTTTTTCTGGTAATACATTTGGCTACTCTTTTGAGACTTGATGAAGAAAATGGGGGAATCCTAATAAGAAACTGGTTTAAAGATCATTCTCATTCCATAATATACCTCTTACAGGATTAAGAAATGATATATGATCGTTCATATTTCAAGCCTTTGATTCTCTGCCCCAGGTCTATCACTTTATGAAGCATGTTTTTGAATTGAGATGCCAAAGGCAGCATAGAAAACTTCAAGAGAGAAATGAAATGCAAATTTTTGACCCTACAGACTGACGTAATCCTGAATGAGCAAATGGGATGGATTTAGTCCTTTTTGCAGTAGGAATACTGTGATTTGAATATCCTATCCATGAATGCGTTCTCATGTGAGTTCACATCCTAAATTCCAGTGTAAAAGCATTATTTGAAGATGCATTTGCAGGAAGCATTCAGTGACTCCTGCTCTTCTCTACACATGTCATCCACTTTGGTAGTGCTTAAAATAAAGTACTCAGATAGAAGATAAGTTGAAACAGACAACAAGCAATATAATACAGAATTTCATGAGTAAAGTGTGTTACTCAGATCCTTCTAAAATACATTTCTCCCTTTATTTTGAAGGCCACAGTATAGGCAACTTGGCTAATGGAACCAGTCTCTTCCTTTGATCATCAATAGGGTTATCTTTTCAGGAAACTAAGTCCCAGCTCAGATGACAGTTTTAGATGAAGCTGACATGAAAGAGAGAAGGATTGTTTAATTATTAGCTCCCTAAAAACCATGTCTTTTCTCTCTTTAAATTAATAATCCTTCAGCTGAAACCATAAGCAGGAGCTCTATCAGGTCTTGCAGGCTGGGTGGGGGGAAATTCATTTGATCTTTATTTTTTTTTTGCTCAGGGCAGTATGCAGGATCTGGTTTTATCTGTCAGCCTGACACACAGCTACAGCCTGCTGGCTCTGGGTGACAGATTTTAGTTAAGTGAGAATCAAAAATAAATGTCATGTGAGCGCATTTATTTAATCTTCTAAGGCTTGGGGAAAGCTTGGGTAGGTGTGTACTGAGTAGCCTGGCATATAGTAGATGCTCAGTGAATGCTCACACTAATCGAATACAATGGATGGAAGAAGGTCAAGCATTGAGAATGTGCTAGGCTGACTTTAGCAACTGCTTTCCATTTTCTGTGTGTCTACCTACATTGGAGAGGGGTAAAAGGGATTACAGCGATTAACAAAACGTGCTGCTCAGTAGATAACCACTAGCCATATATGGCTATTGAGCACTTGAAATATGGCTAGTCTGAATTGAGATGGTCAGCAAGTGTAAAATACACACTGGATTTTGAAGATTTAGTGTAAAAAAAGGAATGCAAAAAAACCCACTCAATAATATTTACACTGACTACATGTTGAATAATATTTTTAATATATTGGGTTAAATGAAATATATTAATATTTCACCTGTTTTTTCTTACTTTTTAAATGTGACTAGTAGAAAATTTAAAATTAACTATGTGGCTCACATTATATTTTTTACTGGACAGCGCTGGTCTAGACTTTTGAGCTAGTTCAGGCAATGAAACATCTCTGCTTTTAGGGACAAATTATTTACAAGCTATCTAAAAATGTAGCATTTACCCCTTAGAGAGGCTGGCCCTGGGAGGGGTAGGGGAAGGCCCATTGGCCCTGAATGCCTCCTCCTCTTGCAATGGGACATACCAGAATTGAATCTCGAGAGGGGGCTGAACATCTTGGGGGTCTCCTTCACTCCATCCCGGAAGTAGGATGGGCCAGGCCGGAGCCCTGAGGGGAAGGTAGGGTCTGGGTTCTGGTAACCCTTGCGTTCCCTCTCTGTTCTGCTCAGGAGCCCCGCTACCACAGAGAAACTTCGCAACTTTCCTGACCTCGCAGTTTCTCCTAGCATCAGGGTCATAAGTCTAAGAGAAAGGTGGGGCCCAGGCACGAAAGGAACTTTTCCAGGGCAAAACCCACCTGCACAGCCTGCTTATTTGCGCGCGGGCTCAGGCCACACAGCCCCCATGAGAGCCCCAGCTGGGATGATCTGAGCGCCCCGGGAGAAGAGAGTCTCCCTCCTGGAAAAGTGTGGTGACTGAGGAATCCCTGTCTCTGCCTCCACTTCGGATCCCCAGTCCCTTCTCCGCGCCCCCAGGGGCCTGCTTTGGTGCTGGCAGTCCTCTCTCAGCCACCGGGCTTTGTTTCCCAGCGTCGCTGAAAGGGAAAGAAGGGGAAGGAAGACTCCTGCGGTCTCGTGGTCCTGCCTCTTCCCACAGCTCTCCTCCCTCCGTCTCTCACTTAGGTTTCTATGGGCCGAAGCAAAGGCGGGATAGCTGGATTCCCTAGGGAAACGCCTTCAAGTCTCCCCTGGCTGCTAGGCTCTCGGGAAGGCGAGTCCTGGAGCGAGCAGAACTAGAAAAGGGAGAGCATGAGGGGTCGGCCATTCCTCCGCGGCGTCTCAGCCGGGGAGCAGGGTGTGGGGAGATCGCCTTAGCTTTGGGGGAGAGCAGCGAACTGAGTCCAGGGCATATGAAAGAAGGGGCAGGGTAAGGACCGGGCAGGCGCACTACCCTGCCCTTTCCCTTTCCTCCTCAAATCCCTCAAACACTGATTGACGTTTAAGGCTAAATTCTGAGAAAGGTTTTGCAGTGCCTTGGCCCAAAGGTAACTGTGACCCAGAGACATTTTTTACTGCCCCAGCTCCCAAAGGGGCATTCAGTAATCTCTTCATTTCCGTTTCTGAGGCAGAGGTTAGTCCCTGCCCCAGAACGAAGCTGAAATCCCACCCCCAAGACTGGGTGCAAATCTGTGTAGAGATGAAGTGTATTGCCAGCGCAGGCACAGGAAGGTTCTCTACTGAGGCCAATGTTCAATTTTATACCCACCAAACTCTCAATAGCCGTTCAGCCTTTTACTATCTTAAGAGGCAGGACAGGGGCCGGCCTGGTGGTGCAGCGGTTAAATGCGCACGTTCTGCTTCCTGGAGGAGGCCCGGGGTTCGCAGGTTCGGATCCCTGTGCGGACCTGGCACTGCTTGGCAAAAGCCATGCTGTGGTAGGAGTCCCATCTATAAAGTAGAGGAAGATGGGCATGGATGTTAGCTCAGGGCCAGTCTTCCTCAGCAAAAAGAGGAGGATTGACAGTCGTTAGCGCAGGGCTAATTTTCCTCAAAACAAAAAAAAAGGCAGGACAGCTTGGTTTTCACTCACTGGGTACCATAGTCCTTCACTGGGAGTGGGGTGGACGTGGGTGAAGTGTGGACGGTCAGCCCAAGAACCTCTCCATGAGTCTCCTCTGTGTCCCTTTAGCCCTGCGGGAGATGACTGGACCAGGGCTAAGGACTAAGGAAGACTGCTGGAAGTCTACCATTTTCCCTGTCCGTGGCTGCCTGCTCTCCGGTCTCCAGTTCTTACCATTATAAACTTTTTTAAAAATCACATTTTAGACTCCAGGACAAAGCATTCTGATTTTGTTTAGATGCCTAGTTGCCAAGATCTTATTTTAAAGTTATTTTCCCCCTTCTCCTCCGTCCTCTCACTCTCCTCGTCTATTTACCATTTACCAGTTCATCCGTATGGAACATGATGCTCCCACTTCCCGGAGCACTGTAGTTTGGGGCATAATTGATTCGGGTAATTAATTTGTTCTACCTGCTAGATGAGATGGAAATCCTACCCGTGCGCCCAAGGATTAGCACTTGGCTTTCTAACACCTCCTCTAATTATCTAATAGCATGGGTTGTGAGGACTCAGTCTCTATTAAAACACTTTTACTATTAGCAGTAGTGATTGGAATTGTGATGACGACTAGATTTCAACAAATTAGAGCTTAAAAATGGGGAGATGGAAGAGAAGTGGCTTCTTTTAATTTCCCTGAGTTTAACATCAATAATTAGAGCAATTTTCGGAGATGCGAGCCGAAATTACCCCTGCTGTGCTGTAGATGATCACCTTAATTTTAGCAAATTGACTCCAGGGAAATAAATGTGACAGATTTAGAAAAAGACAAACAGAAAAAAACCCAAAAGATTGGGAGAAAGGGAAGTGAAAAGCAAGGCTGGGAAAGCGAATAGGAGGCAAAATCTGGTACAATTATTTCAGGAGGCTAGGGTTGAAAAGGGGTAGTATAGCAGAAATAGCAAGCCTGGTGAGTGGAATGAGGAGGAAGTAATGGAAATCTGAGAGGAGGCGGAGGCTGGCAGTGAGATGTAACTCTGGACATATTTACACAGACCAAATTACTTGACTAATGTAGATATAACTTTCTTCCCACCACTCTCCATAACTGAGGTAAAGAATGTTATGATCATCGTCAACATTTTATTTATTTACCTCAACAATCCAGTCATCTCTCAGACTTCAACTTAAACTGACTAGCATAAATGGACTCTCTTTCGCCTCACTTCTCCTCTTCTCCTTTTTTCTACTATCATTTCTCTAATGTTTAAAAACCCAGGCCCAAGTGCCGAAATAAGTGCCTTATCCTTATTTCTTTGGGGCTCTTTAAATGCCTTCTTCTCTCTAAAGAGGAGTTTGTCAGACGACAGAGACTTTTTTTTTTTTTTTTTAAGACGGCTGGGAACAAAGCAGCTCCCGCAGTGGCGGGGCAGAAATTGAGGTCGAGAGAGCTGGGAGGAGCAAGAACCCGACCCGCTCCGCTCTCCCCGGGCCTGGCCGGAGATATTCAGCACAGCGGACAGCTCCCTGCCCCGCCCCAGCCCAAGGCACCCTCCCCTCCGCCGCTGGCAGCCTTGCCATTGGCTCTCCTGGCTCCCCTCTCCAAGCTGCCAATTCTCCTACACATAGACCCAACCTACCCAGGAGCTTGTCTTCTCGCCTCTCCAGCGCCCGGGGTAGCCCAGGCCAGGGAGAGAGCCGCGGGGATCTGAGCCTCGGAGGGTGGTTGTCGGCTCTCGACCAGCTTTGCTGAGACGCTTCCTGCCTCTTACACTCCGTCCCCAGCCCTTGCCCTGTGGCAGGCGCTCGGGCTCAAGATGAATCTCAACTTCACCTCCCCTCTACACCCGGCGTCTTCTCAGAGGCCCACGTCCTTCTTCATCGAAGACATCCTGCTGCACAAGCCCAAGCCACTAAGGGAGGTGGCCCCTGACCATTTCGCCAGCTCTCTGGCCTCCCGGGTGCCTCTGCTAGACTATGGCTACCCCCTCATGCCCACACCCACCCTCCTGGCTCCTCATCCCCATCACCCTCTGCATAAGGGAGATCACCACCACCCTTATTTCCTCACCACCTCGGGTAAGTAATAGGGGCCTCAAGATACGGGAATGGAAAAAGCAGGACTTCCAGCGCAGACCCTATGCCTGTGATGGAACCAGAACTGGCTTAGCCTGGGTTGGCAGCATCCTTCGCTAAGTGACAGTGGAAGGTTGGGAATATAGCTGAGAACACGGGGAGCTCCCTTGAGGCGTGCCAACCCATGGGGATAATTCGTGGTCCCTCCAACTCTTTCTAATGGAGGAAATGTGCCTAGCCAAGAGGTGGCAGAAGTTTTGATGATATTCTTGGTGGGCAGTGCTCAGTCTCCTTTTTCGTGGTCTTCCTGACCACTTTGGTCCAGCTCTTAATCCCAATTCTCTGCCTCTCTCTGCTCTGAGGGAGACCTGTGACCACACTATCATCCTATGGATCAGAACTCAACTTTCCAGCTCAGAAGCTTGAAAGGCTCCAATGGTTCCAGCTCTCTCCTCCCAGGCGCTGAGCATTCACTGATACTGTGGGGGCTTAGTAGTGAAGGAGGGTTTGGAAAATTTTGAGGACTGAAGGTTTGGGCTAGACTGAATAAGGGAGAAAGGGTAAGACAAAATGAGGGAAAGATGTGGCTCCTCTTTAACCCTCTTCATTTCTAACATCTAGCATTTAACTCACAATCTTGGGCTTGGCTGCCCTCCTCTGCCCCAGTTGCTGGCATCGTTGAAGCCCAGTGCCAAAGTATTTTGATTTCCCAGGCATGGCAAGGAGCTGGGGCCAGCAAAGTCTGGTTGGGACAGGGAGACGCACAGAAATACCCAGGTTTTTTCTGCCTTTCTCTGAAAGGCCACATTCACGCTTTCATCTCCGGCATTTTCATTCCAGCCAGAATAGAATAATTTGTTGAGTCCAGATGCAGAGCAGAGCTGGAAAAACAACCTGGCAGGGGCTATGGAAAGACTTGAGACAGTTTGTGAAATGTGGGCACTGGAATCCACGACAAAAGCTAAAAGTGTGTGTAAAACGGTAAAAGCCAGACTCTGGGACACTGGGTTGGAAGCGTGATTATAAAGTCGACGTCTGCATCTCGGCTTTGGCATTAGCTTCATCACCCAGCCAGCCATAGTCTCTATTGGGCTGCACGCATGTTCTTCCCAAATAGCGCAGCCAAAGCCTGTGATACTGAAACTGCTAATTTTGTTTTGTTTTTTTACCCTGGGATTGGCGAATATTGATGTCTGTGGCAGTTTGTCTGCCTGATTCGTCTTAGACACAGTAAAGCCTGCCAGAGTCAGGAAAGACAGAAGTCTCCCCCGACCCAGCCAGGGAAAAGCGCTTCAATCTTTCTGCTTGGGGTTGGCGGGAAAGAATGAGAAAAAGAATAAGGATGAGATTAGTGAGCGGGGTCCCCAGCGCAACCCGGAAACTGATAGCGAGACGTGCGAGGCGGGAATTGCCCCTCGGTTCTCGAGCCTGAGCCTCTCTGGATAAGAGTTTTGGTCTGTTCCCTTAGGCGGCAGGCGGGGACAATGGGGACGGCTGGGGAAAGAGAACGGTGCCTTTCAGTGAGGTTGGGAGGCAAGATCACATTCACGCCTTTATTACACCCAGAACAACACAGAATGTAGTCAGGGGTCTGGAAGATGCGGGCGTCGGGGGAGAGACAGTTCCTGGACCACCCAACGTTTGCAAGAAAACTTGGGGAGACGCAACAGAGGACAGGGCGCTGGCAGACGCTACGGAAGTCTCTCCGAGAAGACTTTTTTTTTAAGGCCTCTGGATCTATTTTATAATTTTCTTTTCCGTTTTACTTACTTTTTATTATTTGTATTTCTAGATGGCCTTTCCGATAAAGATGGCTAAACGCTATTCTTGCGATTTTTTTTTTTCCTGCCCTGCAATTCCTTGGAGAAGGGCTCGAGGCGCTTTGGGGCGAGGTGGGGACTGGTGGAGGAAAGAGGCGGAGGGAGGCGCTGGGGACTAGGCTGGAGAGTGAAGCGGCGGTGGCTCCGGGGTGACTGGGCTCTGCCCACCTGGCTGGTCTTCTCTCTGCAGGGATGCCGGTCCCCGCGCTGTTCCCGCACCCCCAGCACACCGAGCTGCCGGGAAAGCACTGCCGTCGCCGCAAAGCTCGCACGGTTTTCTCGGACTCGCAGCTCTCCGGCCTGGAGAAGAGATTCGAGATCCAGCGGTACCTGTCCACGCCAGAGCGGGTGGAGCTGGCCACGGCCCTCAGCCTGTCCGAGACCCAGGTGGGCCGGAGGACAGGGAGGCCCTGATCTCTGCTTCACTCTCCTCTCCCCTCAACTCCTAACACATTCTGGACCCATGGCGGGCTTCTCCAGTGGGAATGACCCGGCTCCCTTTTATTCTAGGCGTCTCCAAAGATCCTTAGCAAAAGTACCGGTACCTCCAACCTCGTGTCGGACTTACCGAACCAAAATCTCTCGAGCCGTCTCTGGACGTAGAGGAGAGCCTCCTCGGGTGATTCTGATGATTATTCCCTCTCTGAGAACTATCATTTTTGTGCGTCCTCCACTCTCCGATCAGGGCAGTAACCCGCGTGAAACGTAAAATAAGACATTAGATGGGTTCTTGTCCTGAGAGAAGCCCACACAAGGAGTATTTTTTCTTATTTTAATCTCTCACATAGTTGCAAGGCTTCATCTCCTCCCCGCGCCCTCATAATTTAAGCCCCGTCTCTATTGCCCTGCCCTGTATGGAAGAACTGTTTATCTTCCTCCAGAGGCTATTCACCTGCAACCTCAGAACTCCACTCCCTCTGTCTTCTATTCCCTGTGCCTGGAAACCGAACGTGCGGTAAAATCAGCCCTCCCGGGCGCCAGTGATTTTCTCTCTGGTGAGAATTAGAACGTTTGATTCTCATTCTCCCGTCCTGCAGTCTTGCTGGACCGGGTATTTAGAGGTCGCAGAGGAACGTAAGTTGAAACTAAAGGAGAGTCATTCGCGCAGCACTTACTCTTAGAAATTCTAATTGATAACAGCATTAGTATTTACTAACCACACCATTTTGATCCTCGTCGTTGTTTCGGGACAATTCCTTCTGGAGCCTTAGAATGTTTGCTTCTCATTCAACTTAAGACGATAACTTGTGAGCAGTTCAGGTGTGAATTAGCGAGGGTGAGACTGTCACAGCTCTTGGATGATTGGGCGCTTGGATGAATGGATGGCGGTCCGCTTTCCTAAACCCCACCAATCGCTCAGATCTTAGCTCAGAAACAATGAGTCTGAAGGAATGACGTGGTTAATTTTTTTCTCCCCGATATCAGGTGAAAACGTGGTTCCAGAACCGGCGGATGAAGCATAAAAAGCAGCTGAGGAAAAGTCAAGACGAGCCCAAAGCGCCCGATGGGCCCGAGAGCCCTGAGGGGAGCCCCCGCGGCCCAGAGGCCGCGCCTTCCGAGGCTCGGCTAGGCCTGTCCGCCGGCCCCTTCGTGCTGACCGAGCCGGAGGACGAGGTGGACATTGGGGACGAGGCGGAACTCGGCTCAGGGTCGCACGTGCTCTGAGCAGCTTGGCTGGGGAGGCTGGGAGGACACCGCGGGGCGGGGCGCCGGTCCCTCCCGGACCAGCAGACTCTGACTCCAGTCTTGGGGTGGGATCAGCTTCTGGAAGACAAACAAAACACACCCGTCAACTCTCCCACCGGTGCGGAGCCGGCGCGGCCTGCGGCTCGGCCTCACGCGCTCCCCCGGCTCCTGCTCCCTGCGTCCCTGCCCGAGGCGAGCGTGCCCGGGTGAGCCGATTCCCGCGCCCCGCGTCTTCAGCGGCGCACACTGGCACTTGGGCTCTTGGCTCTCTAATTCGGTGGGGGACGTTTTCTCCGCCGCGATCGCAGATCCCCCTCGGCCCTCACTTCTCAGTCATCTGCCCCCAGCTCCGTTGTCCAGGTTCTGCGGCCTCCCCACCCGAACCCTTTCCTTTCCTTGGGTAGACCGATTGGCTGCAGGTAAGGGACCGGGTGTCTGGGCCTTCCGCTCTGCTGGGATCCAGGCAGAACCACCGTCTGATCCTTAACACGTCCACGTCGGGACGGACTAGGGCGATGCTCGCCACTAACTTCCCACTCGGGTCCCTCCACCCCCATCTCTAACTCAAACACGAAGACGGCTCCCTTCTTCTCAGGGCGGCGCTTTCATCCACTCCCGTCACTGCTCCCCTCAAGAGCTCCCCTCTGCACCCCGGCACCCTTCCTGAGCTTGTGGCCGCCAGGCACCGGCCCTCTTTAGGCGCCCCTCTCCACCCCCCATACTGAGCGGCGCCCGCGCGCGGCGAGAAACTTGGGCAGAGAAAACCCACCGAGCAATTTCTGCTTCCCGACCTTGTTGCGCGCCTGCCCCGCAGCTCTTCCACGTCCCACGGGCTACTGATATTTTAAAAGTGAGTGTTCCTTGGGTTGTGTGCGGAAATGCTCATTTTCATTGCATTTTAGGGGATGCGGAGTTTTAGCAAGATTAAGACTAAAGGGGAATACGCATCCCTTTCCGGGCGTGCACCTTTTTGGGGACTGTTGAGGTGGGCAGGAGTCTGATTGGCCCAGCGCGTTGCTCCTCTCTCTCTCTCTGTCTCTCTCTCTCTCTCTCTCTCTCTTTCCCCTGGGAGGTCTCCTATTCTATTCCCAGATTTGCAGTCTCTTTAGATAATAAAGGGCTCGCCGGGCAAAACTGGGAACAAACACGAGTTTCCGGGAATCATTTGTTACTGCGTTCTCCCACGCGCACGCCCCCTCCCCTCCGCCCTAGGCAGTTTCCTGTTCTCGGTAGGAATGAACAGGGTTAATAACCTTTCGTTAACAGATCCTGTTTCCCCTACCACGATTTTTCTGTTTTTAATCGTTTAATAGTTTTGAGTTCCACCTACGTGGAAAAGGTCACCGCAAGTGGTATTTTTTGACTCTCAAATGCTGAAGGGACAGAGATCTCTTGATAGTTGGAGTTTGAAATTGTGTTAACGAATTGTATGACGACACTACATGCCCAGTACACTTATCAAATACAGGAGTCGTGCCAGAGGTGACCTTGGATTCCGGATCTTCCTTTCACTTTGGTTGTGTGTTTACGTAAGTGAGCCCAGGAAGCCTGGAAAACAGTGAGTGTGGCTAGGTGGAGTCCTGACTCTTGGGTTCTAATGATTAATAATAATTATATAGACCACAGTGGTGTGAGCTTGGGTTGTGTTATCTTTTTGGTTCCTTATTTCTCTAATAAGAGGATGAATCCTAAAGATGCTTTTAGGTCTAAGTTCTATGATTCTCTGAATGTAGCAGTAGGCATTTTTTTTTTTTTTTTACAGTAGGCTTATTTGGGGCAACATTAACTTAAGCAAAGATAAGTGTGAGAGTGAGACTTTTATCCATTCTGCATCATTTAGGAGGCAAAGCTATTGCTTTACTAACATAATCATTGTATAGCTGTTCGAACTTTCCGAAGTGCTCTTTACCAATCAATGATCTTGTGAGTCACAGGCAACAAGGATTATTTTTCCCCTTCATAGATAAAGAAATTGAGGTTTGGCAAGATTGAAGGGTTTATCCATGAAATCAGGACTAGCTAACAGCCAAAGCAGGACAAAAAATATCTCTTCTGACTCCTTGTTCATTTCTTTGCCCAATCCTCTTTGTTTTCCTTCGGTAACAATGCACTGGTTGGTATCTTGCCTCTATCACTTTGTAGGGACACCTCTCATTTATTTAGATTGTGTAGATGTGCTATTAAAAGAAAATCTAGGCCAGATTTCTCCTCTCCTTGTTCAGATAATGACACTAACATTTTAAGGCAGGAGTTTTTGCCAAATGCTTTACAATAAGACAAAAGACTTGGTTATAGAAAAAAAGTGATTTGTGAATAAGATGTTCCTGGTAACCTGGAAGGGAAGGTAGATACTATTATACAAAGGGAAAATCTCAAATTCTTCTAGGAAGAATAGCTACTCAAAGGAATTTGGGGGGAATCTTTAAAGTGAATAATAAACTTTAATTAGATGGTTAACAAAAGCCACAAAGCACTAGGCATTTATCTCTTCTGTCTTCATGAGAAGATGTCAGGGCTTATTTTGGGTCTAGGAGGAGCAGATTAGGTACATTCATGACCTTTTGAAAAGGCAAGTAAATAGGAAACATTGTTATCATAGGCACAGCTCTGCCTGCCTGGAAACAGAATGAACCCTGGAGCCCAGGGAATGGCTACCTGTGTCGTGGGTTCATGAGCATTAAGCGTGGGAAGATGCTCACTCTGCCGCATCATGGTCCTCCCTTTGTGGCTGTTCCTGGCTAGATCAGGTGGGAAGGGAAGAGCTCAGACCTGCAGCACCAGCCACACTGTCTATGGAACTGTTTTCTCATCAGACGGTATTTCCTGAAATTGATGGCAAACAATTCAATAGTAAAGTTCTCCTCGTTTCCTTTTCCTTTTTTTATACACAGGGGGTTACTGATGATAGTAGAAGATAGACATAATTTGGTCTCAATTTAATGTAACATGATGGCACTTTTCGTTTTGGGCCTTCAATACTGATCAAAGCCTCCATAGGCTGAAAAGACATTTTGTCTGAATTACCCAGGCTTTTGCTTCAACTCAGTTTTACTTGGTAGTGAAGATCTAACAAAAGCACGTTCATTGTGGTGTGTTAAAGAAAGAAAGACATAGGTCTGATTCTGAAGGGGTGAAAACATCTTAAAATAGCTAAGGTGGGCAAGTCATCCTACCTGGAATCCCAAATGTGGTAAATAATTTGTTCTGTATATGTTCTTAATGCTGTTTCCGATGGACTTCATTTCATGGATTCTCAAAGAGGGACTCTTGATAATATTGCTGCTCACATGACATAAAACCATAAGAAATGGACAACACACCATTCAGCCCAGTATTAGCTGATAGTGGCACTAAGACATGATTAATTGAAATCCATGACACCACTTCAAAAGACAGAGGGCTGGTTCTTGTCAATGTGTTTGCTAACTAGAGATATAGAGCTGTGAAGACACAGAGCAAGCAGAGTGCTTTCTGGTGCTAAGAGAATCGTGCAATAAACATATTTAGTTGAAGCAGTGACTCCCTGGTCTTCTTGAATTGGGCTCAATATATGTGCAAAAATAATGAGGTAATTGAAATATTTTATATTTATGTTATATTCTTGGCATCACATTTTAAAGAGCATGTTAAGCTAAAATTCACCCAGTATACAGGAACCTGGATAGTAAACATTGGAAAACAAGAAATAAAGGAAAGTGAGCTTTTCAGCTTGGGGAAGCAAAGCTTTGGGGAAGGGAGGAAGAGGAGATTAGCTATGGTAGTTGTATCTCAATGGTTGCACGGCTATTAAGTATCAAGGGATGTATCTATTCTGCCATGCCAAACAGAGCAGAACTGGAACCAATGGGTGGTTCCAGGGAAGCAGGCTTTGGAACAACATTTGAATACCTTCTACAGGGTGGGTACTGTGTTGTCCATCTATAGAACAGGCTACGTCCACAAAGCACTAAACACCTTCCTCTAGAAAAGTTTGAGCAGAAGCTAGAAGGCAGAATATTAGGGATGCTCTACTATGGAATTCTCTGTTAGCAGGAGGTTGGGCTAGATATCCTGTTTGGTTCTTTCTAACCCTTAAGATCCTAGTATTCTGTCTTTTTGTAGGAAAGGAACTATAAGTTCCAACTTATTAAAATTAAAGTTGTCTTCTCACTAAGAAGATTTCAGTTCATACACTCTAATTTAAGTAAGTATATCCATAACAATTAGAAGGATTAGGAGAAACAAGAAAAAGAGGAAAAGGATATTCCTTTATTCATTAAAGAAGTACCAAACACCTCATTCTAGAAAGTAAGTGAATACAAAATGATGTTCCACTGCGTTAAGGACCCAGATATAGTCAGGAGGGAATTGTCAGTGTTAGAAGAGACATTTAACAAAATCTGAGCCCTTTGTTTTATAAGTGAAGAAATTAAGATCCAGATGTAATGAATGCCTTACCGATGTCAAATAGACAGTGGCAGAATTAAGGCTAGAAGCCAATTTTAATTATCACACCTTACCACTGATTAATGTTGTGATAAAAGTCATTGTATTATGTGGAGGAGAGGATTTTGCATAGCAATTTTGGATGTAAAATTAAAAAAACATTTCGTTGGAAATTATCTAGTAAAATCTTATATCAATTTATGGAAAAACTTCTGATTAAGAGCAATCTGAGACTTGAATTGGCTTTCCTAGGAGGTACTGAGTCCTTTAGCCTTGTTTCTACTCAAGCCAAGGTTGAATAAACACTTGCTGGGATGTTTTAGAAGAGGTTCATATATCCAATAGGATGAGCTAAATTATCTCTAAGCTATTTAAAATCTCTACATTTCTCTATTCTAAAAATTTTTTCGTAATCTCCTTTAGTTACAGACGAGGTAACAGAGAGAGATTGACTTGCCCAATATTACATGACCTAATAATTTGGTGAGTTACAGAATTAATACCTATAGAAGTCAGAGATAATTCCAGTAAATATTTAGGAGTGAGATGAAGATTTGAAACGATTCCTATATTTTCTCTCCGGTTACATTTTCTCCATTGTATTTGCTGGTTTTAATCTCCTCTCCACAGACAGATTTCCTTTCAATTTTATTTACTCCTTCCCTCTTAGAATTCCCAGTGTGTATGCCGGATAACCTTTCTTCTGTAATTTTATTTATAATAATTCTGTGAGCCTTCTTTTATCACTCTTTATAATGTTGTGGAGCCACAATCAGATTTGGCATCGTAGCCACTGGCTAGATGGCTTGGTTTAGAGACTTAAATTCTAATCTTACTTTTGCTAATGATTATGTTACTTCTCTTACTTGGCATTTGAAAAATGAGGAGAGTGCCCTATAAGTCAGTTAAGAGTGGTGAGGGGGTGTGAGATAAGAGATCTAGAAGTACCTACTGTGAGATCTTGAATGGAAAGTGCGAGAGGAAGATAAAGGAATTACAATATAGATCTAAAATATTAGTTTGCTCCTTGCTATAACTGTAACAACATGGTTCACTAAAAGTTAGCCTGGTGCTCCATCACCATCTTTATGAGGGGGTTGTTATGTCTCTTTCCAAGGAATTTTGTTTTTTTTAATAACTTTATTTATTTTCTCTTTGTCATTATTCTACTGCGTGAACTCAGAGAGGACACATGAGCCCAGAGCTACATAGGATGCTTCAACTGAGGATGTTTCATTGAGGATGCTTCAATTACAATATTCCTTTTCCTCACCCTTACCTGTTCCACCCCATCCTGCCCCAGGGTTTCTGTTATCCTACTTGATGACAGACGGAATACTACACAGGGAGAGAAGTTAGAATTCAAATTCATGCATACCCTCTTAAGAGACAAAGAATTGCCTGTGATTCCAGTACAGAATCTACCAGGGACATCCAAGATTTAACCTTCCTTCTGAAGCTTTTTACAAGAATTCTTTAGTTTAAAAAAGGCACACCTTATGAATCTATCTCTGTGACAAGAATAAATGAAGAGTTGTTTAGAAATATTGAGTAATATAGTCCTTGTGGATTATTGAACATTTCTACCATCCATTCTCTCCCTAGCCTCCCCCCATGGCTATAGATAATGGAGTAATTAAGTATACTTACCAATATTCTAGCCAGAAGTCAAAGAATGGCCAAATAGTCTATTACTCCTCAGTGCTTG